ATGTTGAATAAATCCGATCACAAAACACATCCTTGTCATGCATCCATTTCTATTTTTGTACTAACGGAACACCGTTAAAAATTCATAGAAATGTTTAATGGATTTAAGTAATGTTAGTAAAACTCAAAATTAACTCATTTTTATGCAAAACATCGGTTTTGCTTTGAATTTCCACATTCGCATATATTAATCTGACACCTTTGAAAAAGCAAACGACTATGGTAATCGTCTGCTACGATCAATAATAGTTTACCTCCTCAAAATAGATATTTCAAAATTGTGAAAAATATTCACTATATACATTGCACGGGCTATCATCCACATCTTTGTCGCCATATTTATCACAACATATCGGCCTTCATCAGATGGTTTGAATGTCGAACTGAGCCCTTTTATTTCGCTCGCTGGGGTAGACTGTTCTAGTTCCACGTGCCATGTCTAATAGATATCTGTTAATTCCCCTCTCCAAGTTCACCACCGCCTTAACCTGGTATTGAACTCACACGCTTTAGGTTCTGTCACTGTATCTAACTAACGTCTTCATCCACTGTACCATGTGTTCTTGAGGACATCTGTGCATAAATTTCTGGGTATTATAAATCTAATGACTTCAGCAAACACTTTTTACCAGAGCTCATATAGAAATGTTCGTTGTTATCACCTGAAGAAGGCCGGAGCGTACAACGGCGGAAACGTTGTGATAAATATGGCAACAAAGATGAGGATGATAGTCCGAGCAATGTAAATAGTGTACATAATACTTCATGTCTGAAATATAGACAGATACTGAAAATATTCATTAGCCAATAAACTTCTTATTAACCAATAAAATAACGATAGTAGAAAAAATGTTTTGCCAGTCAAAAATAAATTTGGTTTAATCAGGTGATCGTGCAGTTGTGAAGGGTTTAATAGGACCTGTGTTAGGTGAGGATAGAATCACGGAAAAAGATTTCAGTTCTTTGCAGTGTTTCACATTTCCCGTTTCCTGTGTGTTCTGTCATCAGTTTAAACTAGTACATTCGCTTTCCCCCTCCTCTGTCTCCCTTGCTTTTGAGTATAAAATTTTCAAAGACTCTTTTCCTCATTATATATCCAAGAATTGTCACCCCTCTCTTTCTGATTCTAAGTGTTCCTTTTGTTTGCATTTTTCTTAGAATTTACACACATGCCCCTTCCATGTTATTCCCAGCATCCATTTTTTAGAACAATTTCTCTGTTACCGCGAGTCTCTTATTTATCTGCGAGGCAATTGCTCAACATTCACTGGCACATAAGAGGATTGGTATTACATAGATGACAAACAATTTTCTTTGTTTCAGTATCTTGATACTTTGCTTAGCTTTCGGAAGGCAACTTTCGCTATTCCAATGCTCCTTCTTACTTTGGTGTCATCTCTTAAAACTCTTCCCAGGTATTTTATTTTTCGTATTTACTTGATTTTGACATCTCCAATTCCTAACAAGCATCTTCGGTTGCTTTTCTTGCCAACGACTACATACAGTGGGCTATGATAAGTTTTTAGCCACCCTTTATTACAGCAATTTTAGCTTGTTTAATAACGTCTCTTCGTTTTTTCTTCATTTTTAATACCATATTAGTATCAAGCTTCTCTCATCTATGAACAGTAGTTGACATATATCTTGCAATGAAAGTTCGTGGAAGAAAGGAAATTAGTAAAGTTCAACGAGGGAAAATAATAGGAAGGCATCAATGTAGCAAGTCAAATAAAGAAATTGCTAGGTTTTTTTTTTTCAGGTTAATCATCAAACGGTTAATAATATTGTCAAGAAATTTAATGAAGAATTCCATGGTCGTGTAGAACAACGTTCAGGGTGACCAAGCATCGTGTCTGAACTAAAAGGGTGCTGAAGAAGGAAGTCATCAGAAACCGTCGTCAGAGCGTCAAAGCTGTCGCCAACAGCATGGAAATGTCAACAAATGTGGTGAGAAAGACTCTGAAAGAGCTAAGATATCAAAGAATATTTGCAAGAAAGAACCCTTGATTTCATATAATGGAATATGCATACACCTGAGTTCCCCCTCACTGGAATATGATTGGCTGGTGTCTGTCATAAATACAGATGGACGTGTAGGTACGACAGAGTTTAGGTCTATGACGACGCCCAATGGACTACGCCATTAGCTATCCTATTGGTCTACACCTATTACCTGCAACTACGACGAGTACCAGTGGATTACTGCTACCGTGTACTACTTGGTTACAGTAGCCAAAACGACTTAGTTACTTCGATCAAATACATCCCTTTCCGGAACATATCAAAATCTAATACAGAAAATTAACTATTTGGGGAATGTAATACACAGACGAGGGAATATGTGGCATGGAAAGCCGAAGACGCAATGGAAATTCGAAAGATGTCTCCTAAAAGTAAACAAAGTATTAAGAAACAGGAAAATATCCTTCGAAACAAAGGATATGGCTGTGAATGTGAAAATGATGTGACAAAGTGAAATATTTGTAAACGACTCGTTTCTCCGAGAAAGTTTTTTTTTTTTTTCTCTCGGGTTTCTTCAGGTTAAAATGAAAGAAAGACAAAATTGTATGTAAGTAAAAAATGCGTTGAAATATCTGAAAATAAGTGTGGACCATAAATCAAATTACCTTATCGTATTCATAACCTGAGATCCTAACCCGTTATTTTTAAATCTTCCCCTTTCTCTCATCATCTTCAGTTTTATTTCGGATACTATTATATTATTATACACCCTACAAACACACATATCTGTGAATTCTGAATAGGTTCCTCGCAGACGAAGTGGAAACAACAGCGATGCAATTCTACAAAAGAATGCTGAGAATCTAATGGCTGAAGCTTATCAGCTTCTTACAGAATTTCTTTTGTTTTATCGGTGTTTCTTTTTTCTTTGTTTCATGCTGCGTTAAATAATAGTCTAGCAGACTATTATTTTTTAGAGAATTGTATTTTCCTCTGACTTCCTCATCTTGATCTTTGAGGTCAGATACAGGAAAACAAAGAAAGTCGTTTTTGATAGGTTAAAACTAGCGTGAGAATGTTAGATAGATAGAAAGGGTTTTCAGGGAGTTACGTTTTTAGACGTCATACACAGTGGACGTGGTTATTTCGTGTCTCGGGGATATTGCTCCTCAATGGGAGTTATAGAGCGTCCCCACTAGCTAGTTAAAAATGTACACGTCGACCTGTACAATAAAATAGATGTTTAAAATCCGTTTTGTTAAAGTTCTCTTCCATCTTCAGATTTCAAAAACATTTCGATACCCGGCCGCGAGAAGACAAGCGAGGGAAAATGCATCGTTATGGAATCGACCCCGTCAACCAAGAGACCCCCTTGCTCAGAAGTAGGGGGCTATACAATAATTGTAATATCTCTACTTTTGTTACGAAAAAGGGCATTTTGTACGCGACTAGATTTAAATTTACCGTAGAAGAGGGAAATATTAAAGCAGTTTCTATACATTCAATAAATGACTCCTCTCTTTATTCTGTCAATTCAATGGACCCTCATTGCCCTCAACGACTTACTGTCTTTTATAGCTATGAGTAATGTTTGTACTTTTGTTATCCCTTCTTGTCCATGTTCTGACAACTCTTGTTACGTACGAAATTAGTCGTTTCCCACTGCCCATCTTGCCTTCGGTATACCCTGTGAGTATCAACTTTTTCTATCCCTCTTTCCTCTTTAGGTACTTTAAATTTTCAATTTTCTCTTTATGATTCTATGCATAAATGTCCCTTTTTAAATCCATTTTCTTCGTCGTTATGTGACGTAGTTCAATTGTATTCGCTAATTTTTATCTGAATTTCTGGGATGAGTCGCAGTCATTACTTGCACTTTTTATATTCGAACTATTGTCCTTATCTTTGTTGTTGTTAACATAACGTTTCCGTCGTTATGTCCTCCGGTCCCTATATCGATCCGGGTAACATACAAGAACTGAACCCTTTATTTAATCTCCGTAGGGTAGACTGTTCTCGTTCCACTCCTCATGACTTCGGATATCTCGTCTAGTTCTTAATTTTTACTTAGTACTGTTCAGTTATTGCTCGCTCGTTTCCACTGAGGGCAAGTACATATTAGTCGACCCTGGGATTGAACTTATAACCACTATATCACTAAATTCACAAACCATATTTTATCTACTACGCTATTACGAGATAGGCTACGTGCTGATTCCCTTTGTTCCTCTTTCTTTCCATCTGTCTTGTAAGTATGAAATTTTCCAAGACCCCATTCCTCATTATGTGTCCCAGAAATTTTAATTGTCTGTTCCTGATGTTAACTATGACTTTCCTTTTGGTTTTCGTTCTCTCCAAAATCTTGTCGCTGCTAACATGTTCGGTTCATGATATCCTCATCATCTTTCTGTAGTACCATATTTCTGTTGCTTAAAGCATCTTCTTCATCTTTGGGGAGATTATCCAGCATTTGCTGCCATACGGAAGGACAGATATCACGTAATAGTTAAGTACTATTTTCTATAGTTTCTAACGGAATTTTTCTATCTCTTAATACTCTGCATAGCTTTTGGGATGCATCTTTGGCCATCCCAATATGTCTTCGGATCTCAGTGTCGCAATTTCCGTCCTCTGTTAGAACACTTCCCAGATATTGAAATTTTACTATCCCCGATCTATCATCTGCATTTTTTACTCATCCTATTCCTGATAATCATTGCATTCTGTCTTCTTGAGGTTTATGCTTAGTCTTTACAAAATACAAATGATGCGCTAAAAAAAATAAAGAAAACAGAATACTAAGAAACACAACGACGCAAAAATAAAAAAATGGAAAAAAATGTACGAATATTTCTGGGAAATAGATAAATAAGGGAAATCTCGAACGCAAAATTGTATCGTTCTAAATAGCTGTCCCAGACATTACCATAGAATCTTCTATATACATACTGTGATAGAATCAGCTATATACAAACCGTGATAGAATAATCTATATATAGAGATCATGATAGAATCACCTATATACGGACCCTGATAGAATCATCTATCTACAGACGGGAAAGAATAATCTACATACAGACCATGATAGAATAATCTAATCAGACCATATATCACAGACTGTGATAGAATAATCTATATATAGAGATCATGATAGAATCACCTATATACGGACCCTGATAGAATCATCTATATACAGACGGGATAGAATAATCTATATACGGACCATGACAGAATCAGCTATATACAGACTGTGATAGAATAATCTATATATAGAGATCATGATAGAATCACCTATATACGGACCCTGATAGAATCATCTATATACAGACGGGATAGAATAATCTATATACAGACGGGATAGAATAATCTATATACAGACCATGATAGAATCAGCTATATACAGACTGTGATAGAATAATCTATATAGAGTGATCATGATAGAATCACCTATATACGGACCCTGATAGAATCATCTATATACAGACATGATAGAAAACACAAAAGCCAATGATTTTGACGGGTAATACTAGAAGAAACAGTGAAATTCCTGACTACGCTATCACGTAATATTGTCTAATTGTATATGCTGTATAAATTCATGGCCTTGTGCAGCCACGGCTTTGAACAACTCCCCCTCTTTTGTATTTTTACCACCCCTCCCACACTTTGTTCTGACATCCATCTATACAAGCTGGTGGGGGTACGTGGCCTGCTATATCTCAAACTGTCTTTTTTCTTCGATTTATCTTGTCAGTAAAACCTTCTTTTTCAATTCCTTATAACTCCTTACGCTTCCCATAAAGTGCAGTTGTCTCTTTCTAATTGATTATAGGTGTTTTTTTTTTGTTTATATTTTCCATAAATTTCCCTTGCTATTTTCAAAATTCTTCCATGGAATTCTCAGAATCATTCTGTAGAACTGCTTCACCGTTGCCTCAAGTCTTCATCTGCGTGTAACACCATTTTAAATAGTATTTTATTTAACTTATGATTTGAATATGAAACGTGAGACGCTTTCTCGTTAGTTGTATTTACTCTATGATAATTCACGGCCAGAATCCTCAGACTAAGGCCAATAATTAAGATTCGTACAGTGTTAACAGTTGCCATGGTTTACTTTCTAATATGTTCCAATACGCAGATTTAGCGTTAAAGAGCGTGTAGAATGTAGGGATAATGATAACGTCTAGGACTGTAGTTACATAGCTGCTAATTGTCGTTTTTTTAAAGAATGCTTCATGGTAAGGAAAACCTTTGAGACTGATGCGACGAAGACGCCGAAACGGATATGAAAGAAAAGACTGCTAATTAGGAGATGGGTTGTGTTTACACCAACGTCGCTTGATTAAATTTAAGGAGCCCCTTCTCAAAATAGCTCGCTTATTAGACTTAAAGCGAAATATTGGATCGATGATCGATTACTGATACAGTTCATGCGGGTACTAACCTTTTCCTCTTAATTAAGGAGTCGTTAGCCAGCGGCGCAAACAAAACGGACTTATGTCATAGCAAATATCGGTCGGCAGCAAATTTGGGAAGATTTTATCAATAATGAACCTGATTGCCTTCTGAAGGCTGAGCTGAATTAGGTTGGGATAAAGTTGTTGATTATCAGAGAAAAATTGTACTTTGGTAGTTCGTGGTTTTCTTTTTAATCCGCCAGTATTAGAACCTGGTCATTATAGGACTACAAAACATTCGGGAAGAAAAAAAACAACATTTTTATTTGTTTTAATTAGATATATTAAATATCATTACCAAGATTCAAAAGAATTCAAAAAACTTGAATATTTTTTCCAGACTTTTTTGCAGAATTGTCTTGAAGAGAAAACAAAATGTTAACCATTTTGGAAAAAAAAAATTCCTACAGATAAACATTCATTCCACAGACTAGGAAGAACAAGTTTTTTGCAGATGTCTTCTAAATTGTCTTAGAAAAAAACAAAAAATGTAAATAGCAAAATATACCGTCACCATTTTGGAGAAAAAAAAAAACTATATCTCAAACTGAAGCACAATTATATTCCTACAAGAAGATTCTTTATGGATTTTGCAACTGAAAAATCGAATGAACGTAAATAAAATATTAAAATCCCTCCTTTTCGTTAGTTAACACGCAGTTACACCCTGCCAATGTCTCGTAAATTGATAGACAATATGCGTTTTGATTAAATTTTAAAAGAAAAGAAAGAAAGAAGAAAGAAGGAATAATATTAAGATAGAAATGTTCGTAAAACAGGAATCTCTGATAAAACAAGAAAGAAAGAAGAAATATCGAAAGAAATTAACACAGGCTCTAACCAGAGAAAATCTCTTATATCCGACAGAAAAAGAAAGAAATATTTAACGACGAAAACCGAGTAAAATCACCAAAATCGAAAACGAAATAAAATAAAAATCGAAATTTTTAATTAATATTAAGAAATGAAAAAAGAAAGAAAAAGAAAAGAAAGAAAGAAAGAAAGAAAGAAAGAAAGAAAGAAAAAAAAAGAAAAAGAAAAGAAAAAAGGAAGGAAAGAAAGAAAGAAAGAAAAAAAAAAGAAAAGAAAGAAAAAAGAAAAGAAAAGAAAGAAAGAAAGAAAGAAAGAAAGAAAGAAAGAAAGAAAAAACGAAGGCAGGGAAGTTAGTAGAGTTTAACGTCTGTTTGTAATACTTTATAACTAATGGACTATTCCGTTTTGATCGTATGGAAAATCCACTGGATTTCGGTGAGAAAGAAAGAAGGAAAGATAGACGATAAAGTTCTCAATTTCAAATCTTTTTATTTCTATCCACTTTTTAAAATAACGGCCAGCATTCATATTTATGGTGGTTATTGCAATATTTTGTTAAAGTTGTTAAGCTCAAACAAAATTTCTGCTGATATCTCATTGTCGTAGAACTCGCCATAAGATAATTCAAGCATTAATTTAATAATTAAGAATCACCAGAAAATTTATATAAGAAAACCTTACATTTTTCAGGGGTGTTTCCTGTTTATATAAATAAAATTATAAACAGTTTAAAATTATTACTGTTTTCCTAATTTTTAAATTAGTTGCATTATATATAGTTGATTAAAATAAAACAAAGCTTGCATGATTTATTTAATGCTAAAACGTAATATCCAGTTTATCGAATTTAGAGTTCTGTGATTCGGTTTCAAACCAAGGTGAAAAAAGTTATACATTTGTTTTAAAACCAAATTGATTACAATTAAAACTACAGGTTAAAACCAAATAAAAATCCAGTTCATAAAGAGACGGTGCCATGACAAAGTGGCCATCAGAATACACTGGTTTTATTTGATTGATTTTACGGCTTATCAACCCTTTCAAGTTTATTTAAAGCCAGAAATATTTTTTTTACATTATAATATTTTTGTTTTGGAGATGATAAGGATTTACTGATACAAATCTTAGTAGTTAATCCATAGCTCGGGATAAGATATAGATTCATAGGTTTCTCAAGATTATTTGGACGTAAATGGGCATAACGAACCGAACTGGAATTAGAATTCGTATCTTCGATTAACACTTCCGAGACGTTATCTATTACACCACTCGAACATCCAAGCTTACTGCATCTGGTATTCCAAAGCTGTTACCCATCTAGTTACTGACCAGTCTTGACGTTGCTTAACTTCGGTGGCCATACGGAAAGAGGTGTTTCAAAATAATCCATAATGCACTGATATCAATGCAGGAAGAAGTGGCATGGGCATTCACCGCCTTCAGTATTCGAGAAATGAGCAAGTGAAGCTCATGTGGGTTACGACCATCTTGATTGACAAGCGCTTGGAGAGCAATCGCCCTGACCTCACCATTGTGTGCAAAAGCAGTCCTGAAAAGATTTTAATAGACGTTGCTATAGCTTTTTATAAGAATCTTGAAGGAAGAGCAGGCGAGAATGCAGAGATAGAGACCAGGACAAATCAGTTAAATGTATCCAGCGAGCTGATCAAGTGTTCTCTTTTGTGGCAGGTACACAGGATTATCTGAAGGAATCGTTTTTGGGATACCTGACACCACGGAAAGTATGCAGGTAGAAGGATTACTTGGAACTTCTTAAGTGCTAAGGAAAGTGTTCTTTCTCTATACTGAGGGAAGGGGATATCACCATCATCATAATCCGGCCGACACATCTAAGAATCGGATAGTATATCAAATCATCATTATTATTATTATTAAGAATTTCTTCATTCTCTCTCTTCTTCGACCCCAAACGCTCTTCCATCGACATTAGAGTATGACATACATTTAGTATACATACAAACGCTGCTGCGCTTAAGTGAAGTCTACTTAACCAATAAAAAGCGACACCATAAAATTTAAAATAGCAGATTTTTCTTTCTTTTTCTTTTTCTACGCCATATATCATTCTTTGAGGAAACTTGAAATAAAACGAAGTATGTTAGAATAGTATGTTAGTTTCGTATTTGTTTCTTTATACTATAATTTTGTCGGATTCAAATTCATATTTGATCTCTATGTTATCCCAATTCAATATATATATATATATATATATATATATATATATATATGTGTGTGTGTGTGTGTGTGTGTGTGCGCGCGCGCGCGTGTGTGTGTGTGTGTGTATAAATGTGTATAAGTTAATGTACATTTAGTCAACAACAATTCCTTTAAACATCTAAGAGGAAAAGGTAAGGGGAACTATGGAGGACGCTAAGTGACGTAAATAGTAAGAAGGTTGTTATTGTTAAGGTTATTGTTTAAATGAAAGGAAATGTTGTTATTATTATTATTATTGATTTTTTTATATATTTTTTATTTTATATAAAAAATACATTCCATTTGGATTGCTGACATTACTATCCAATCATTTCCCTGGATGAACTCCCACCCATAGATTTAAATGGCTTCCTTGGGAGTCACGTGTTTCCTGAGAATCTCTAGTCTATGTTTTGTCTTCCATATTAATGATCTTTTGAACATGAATTTCGACGGTAGCACAAAGCATTCCTTTGTAGAGTTTAATGCATATAGTTTTATGAGGACATGATGAGTATATTTTATATATTTTAGATAGTTTCTTTTATCGCCCCAGCCATAAATTCGGTGTTTTATTTTGTTTAACATTTCGTTTGTCTTGTAGTCACTAAAGAATATTCTACTTTTAATAGCTTTGCGTTTCTCTATATCTGTAATAGTTTAGTTATTTTTTATAATTTTTTATTTGTTAAATGTTCTTCCATTTCTTCCTTTCTCCTTTACACTTAAGCGTTCAAGTTACATTCTTCCTTCCAGTAGTTCACACGAATTTATTATTTTCTATTATTTCCAAAATTGTTATCTTTTTTAATCCAACGATTAAGTTGTACCTCAAATAATAACAGTTCCTATGACTGATAAAGTTTTATGAAACGTATTGCGCAGACGCAGGTGCAATCTACTGTAAACGCCATGACAATGTACGCTGTCAGACGCATGCGCCAGAAAGACAATGATGGCTGAATACACAAAACCGGGCAAGTCATCCCGGAATCGGCAAACAGTGGGGTAGGTTGGAACTGAAAACTTTTGGCGGAAAAAGAAAGAAAGGTTTAATAAATTATTGCAAGAGGAATTTCAATATCAAGATGGTACTCTGGAAAAGAATGAGAGATAAACGAGGCGAAGAAAAATATCTACAACGTCAGGTTGGAAAAGAACAAAAAAAAGGGAAATTTGAAGAAAATAAAAGAGGCGACAAGAAGGAAAATAATGACAGAAAGAGAAGAAATTTGAATTGATGGCTAAAGAAAACGGTAAATATTTAGGTTGTTGGGAAATTATGTCTCGTTTTCTTTTTAGAAAGAATAAAAATTTATTAAGATTTAATAAAACATAGTTTTACATACCGTATATTTTAACGTTTTTTTTTTTTAAAATCATTTCACCCAAAGTAAGGCGGGAGTACCACTAGCACGCTGGGGGTTACAGAGAGTGAGAGCAAGAGTAAAGAGGTGTGATAGAGGAAACGATGAAGAAAAGGACGGGTAATTAGATCAAGGCATCTGAATATGTCGATTGACATTGCATTTGAATAATTGAAGATTATAGCTATCAGGGTAGCAAAGTGGTTTCAGGTCAAAGTTTAGTATCTGTCTTCCTCATCTTATATGGTAATTATAATATTACATTTTTTCTTATGAGGTAACATTTGCCATTTATAAACATTACCCTATGTATTCGTGTATAGTGCGACCTTTAATGATCATAATTTTTACGCAAATACAGATGGTCGCATTATATACAGGTAATTTTCGAATAGGTTAAATACCATGCATCTCGGTGTCAGGTATTTTTTTTTTTTTTTTTTGCTAAAGGGGGTAATATTCATAGAAAAAATACAGAGGTCGCACTATAGAGATAGTCGTCTTATACACGAGTGCATACGGCAATTATCACCATCAGTCCTTAAAAGATGGGAAACGTTGCCATGAACGTGTAAGTCCTACGAGTACAAAATAAGATAATTCATTTTTAAAAGGTTTTTTATTTAATTTTTTTTATTTTAATTTTCGTATTTATTATATTCAAAGCTATTCTACGATAACCCTTTTAAATTAAAAAATATGTAACTCCTACGAGTACAAAATAAGATAATTCATTTTTAAAAGTTTTTTATTATTTATTTAATTTTTTTTATTTTAATTTTCGTTTTTATTATATTCAAAGCTATCCTACGATAACCCTTTTAAATTAAAAAATATAAAGAAAAATGAAAATAAATTTCTTTGGGTACCTAAATTTAATATATATTTTTTTTTTTAAGCGTGAGTCTTCCGTTTCGGTTGGAGTGGTTCCTTTTTTTCATCCCGCCATCAGTTTTCTTGTTCTTCCAGACTTTTTTTTTTTTTTTTGCAGGTAAAAATTCCAGAAAACGGTGTGCACCCAAGTAAACAATAACCTCGTGTACCCCAGAGTTGCTAATGAGGTAGTGACGGTTATTTCAATGGAAAAAATGAGTCATCAATTGATATCTGCTGATCTCCAGTGAAACATCAATTGTTACTGTTCACCGTTTAAGTCAGAAACGATAATGGTTCTTCACAACATTTTTACTCGTGTGTTTCTTTGGTGGATTTTCTCCCTTTGCTAAAGCCGCTGCACGACTTTTCAACTTCTATTCACGCAAGCTTTGTGCGCCTCGACGTGGTGTAATCGTTAGTAAAATTGTCTCGTTAGAACAGATTGGTAAGTTTGATCCTCACTGGGGACCCTATATTTTTTAACTTGTGCCACATCTGTGCTACGCTTAGAAAATAATTATTCATAAAAGCTTGTCAGGTAAGTGGCTTGCCGCCCTTAATATGTCCCATAAGGTTTATATTTTCCAAGCCCACCTTCCTCATTATGTGTCCAAGTTATTTCCGTTGTCTTTTCCTAATTTTCAGTATGTTTTCTTTTTCTTGCTATTTGCTTTATGCCTTCCATGTTACTTGCTCGCTCGGTCCTTTAGAAATGCTAAAAGCCAACAATAAAACTAATTTTCTTTCTTTTTAAAGAATCTGTAATTCAAATGAAAAAGTGATAATCATGGACTGATAATGGTCTGATCATGAATAAACTGTTCTAGTGAAATTAATCTGGAGGTACGAAGTAATGGATTGCATCTCGGATTGAGGAATCGGAGAGCCGAGTTCGATTTCCAGTCGAGTTCATTAAAATTCAGTTTCGTTCCAATACACTTGGGAAAGTTAATGAATCAATCTCTTCTCTCTCAGCTTTGGATAATTAGCAGGACAGACTGGGTTCTATATCCTTGGGTGGCAACCGGCCAGAAGAAGGAGAAGCTTTTAATTAAAAACCAGTTTGGTCCAAACAGATGTTGTATTGTAGGACCTGTTTCTCTAGGCAAAGGCTTGAAAAAGGTAACATCAAAAAAGGAATAAGAGATCACATGTCTCGAAGAATGTTAACAGACACCTACTTCGAGCTGCGACAGAAAATAATGGACTCCTCACCGTGGTCATCATTTCGGATTATTCTCTCATTGCTCATCACCGAAGGGACTTTAGACGATGGAAACGGCGAGTGAATTGACTGTGTTTAAATTTGAAAGTGTTAAACCATGTAAATAAGAAGCCTTTGATAAATGATTCTCAGCTTAAAATTATACTCATGGGCTTATTCTTACCTCGGTTTTCGTTCGTTTTGAGTTTTATCGGAAAAGCAACCTTTAATGTTTTATTGCGAAGGCAACCTTTAGAGAGTCTGTCTATATTTCTGAGATGAGGTATTATGTACATTATTTACATTATTCGGACTAATCTCCACATCTTTGTCCTCATCTAAAACTCTAAAGGTTGCTTTTCCGATAAACAACCTTAATGTTGCCTTCGCAATAAAACACTAAAGGTTGCTTTTTCGATAAAACTCTAAAGGTTGCCTTCGCAATAAAACACTAAAGGTTGCTTTTCCGATAAAAAGTTGCATTATTTACATTATTCGGACTATTGTCTTCATCTTTGTCGCCATATTTATCACAACGTTTAGGCCGTTGTACGCTCCGGTCTTCTTCAGGTGGTTGGAATGTCGAACTGAACCTTTTATTTCGCTCATTGGGGTAGACTGTTCTAGTTCCACGTGCCATGTCTAATGGATGTCAATTATCAGTTATCTCCTGCTAATTTCCATCTGAAATTTATCCACTGCCTTAACCGGGTATTGAACTCACACTCTTTGGGTCCTGTCACTGGATCTAACCAACGCCTTTATACAGTGCGCCATGTGTCCTTGATGATATCCATCAAACATGGCACGTGGAACTAGAACAGTCTACCCCACTGAGCGAAATAAAAGGTTCAGTTCGAAATTCCAACCACCTGAAGAAGGCCGGAGCGTACAACGGCCGAAACGCTGTGATAAATATCGCAACGAAGATGAGGACAATAGTCCGAATAATGTAAATAATGCAACCTTTAGATTTCTATCGGAAAAGCAACCTTTAGAGTTTTATCACGAAGGCAAGATTTGAGTTTTATTGCAAAGACAACATTTAGAGGTTTATCCTAAAGGCAACGTTTTGAATTTTATCGGAAATACTATCTTTAGAGTTTTATCGAAAAAGCGACCTTTAGATTTTTTTTTGGTAAACAAACATCTAGACTTTTATCGGAAAGGTAACCTTTACAGATTTATCACGAAGCGAACTTTAGATTTTTATTGCGAAGGCAACCTTTAGAGTTTCATCACAAAGGCAAACTCCTAGAGATTTATTGCAAAAGCAAACTTTAGAGTTTCATCGAAAAGGAAACCTTTAGAGTTTTATCACGTAGCAACCTTTAAAGTGTTATTGCGAAAGAAACCTTTAGAGTTTTATTGGAAAGGCAACATTTAGAGATTTATTGCGTAGGCAACCTTTAGAGATTTATCGGAAAGGCAATCTTTAGAGCTTTATCGGAAAGTCATCTTTAGTTTTTTATCACAAAGTCAACTTGCAACTTGATGACAGATCTGTATAGATGTTCAGGAATCCTATTTTGACTGATTTAAACACCGTTCAATTACAATAATTCAGGTATAAAACTGATTCTCAAATCGGACATAATTTTCCGAACAACTTCATTATAGAACTTTCGTCTACTTGCTGACATAGTTTTCTAGTCCAGTCTCCTAGATGCTTTCAAAAAAGACTAGAACTAGTTTCTTAGACGCTTTTTTTTTTTCATTAGTAATAATAATGATTACGTGTCTGACAAATAATTATATGTTTAGTTCCATTTGAGATTCCGTCTCTAAAATTGCGAAGTTAATATCCGAGCAATTTGAAGAAGAGGAGGAGTTGAATCAAAGATAGTAAAATAGGAGTGGAAAAGTTTAGCAAAGAGAGAGGCATTTCAAAAGATACTAAGGTAACAGTTTCATTAGAGAGAGAGAGAGAGAGAGAGAGAGGGAGAGAGAGAGAGAGGGAGAAATTAAAGAAACTATAAAAAAAAAAGAGCGGAGAGATATAAACGACAAAGAAAATAGAGAGGTAAAGGAAACAGTTTTAAGGAAAAGGGGAAAGAATGAGCAATGAATTATGTGTTGAAACAGTACTGTCGGGTAGTTCGCTAATAACATGATTGAGTTAGACGTTAGAAAGAGGTGAAAATTAAATAAAAGACGGCGCATCTGTGTCTATCGGCGTCGACTTTGACGTCGACGTCAATTTACATGGCGGTCATGTTTTGTCTTCGATTTTCACACTGTCTTGCCAATTCGCTGTTTGATGAAATCATGGTCAGAGAAACCAGAACCAATGGCAGATGCGTATGTTCGTGGTAAATTGATGAAGGGTGATCAGTGGGAGGTGGAAAGTGAGAGCTGATCTCGGAGGAGTAAAAACACGTGAAGCAATAAAGGATTTGTTGAGGTCGTAATGTCGTGATAATAAGAGGGGAGTACAAATATCCTTTGACGAAGAATAGGGTCGGTTTAGTGGATTTAATGACATATCAACCCTTCTTAGGGAATTTAATATAGAATTCAGTCTATTTAATAATTATATTTGAGTCAATAAATATTTATTTCGTTCGCGAATAGGTAAATAACAGACGTGTGCACTAGGGTCCATAACAAATTATTCGTCGTTTTTTGCTTGAATCTCGAAGCAAATATAAGTTGTTTATACGTTAAGATATCGGTAGATATTGATCGTCTTGTTCTCGATTTTGTGCAAAACTATTGGGTGTTTACATTTGAACCGATAGGTAAATATTGGTAATTTTTACTTGAGTTTTTTGTTGAATATTGAGAGTTACCTATAAATTCATGTATATACTTGAATCTATAAGTAACTATTAGTTGTTTATATTTTATAGGTTAATGTTTATTATTTATATTTTGGTCTACGTGTAACCATTAATTTTTCAAAATTAAGTTCACCAGTAAATATTGTAAAGATTGAATTTTTTTTATTTCTTGAGCTGTCATGCTGCTATTAAGCATTATTTATACATATGAATTGAATTATCCGAGCGGCTGGCGCATTTTGTATAGAGAAAAACGTTAATATTCCATTCCTTTCTGCGAGGATGGCCTAGAGGTAAGATATCTGACTAATGCCAAATAAGCCTGGTTTCGATCCCGGCTTGAAGCAATAAAGGATTTGTTGAGGCGCTGAGGAGCTGTGATACAGCGAAACAGTATGTCTATGGACGACTATATCTATAAGCTCTCTAGGGAAATGGGGTTTTAAAACAGTTGCTATTAAGCATTACTCTTCAAGTATGAACTGAGTTCTCCGAGCCGCTGGTGTATTTCGTATAGAGTTAAAACGTTAAAATTCCTTTCCTTTCCTTTTATATATAATAAAATATCAGTATTTCCATTGCATTCGATCAACACATGACGACTTCTTCGTCTATGAAACTCAGAGTTGTGCTATCAGTGAGGAAAACTGCTGTTGCTATATACGTAATAAATTTTGATGATTGTTTGATTTTGACATAGAAAGCCATGTGGATCAATTGTTTTAGCTCATTATTTTCCTGGTTTAGTATATTGGTGTTTGTCTATATTTCTGAGGCGAAGTATTTTAATTATTTACACTATTTACAGTGTTTACTTTTGTTGCCATATTTACAACGTTTGACTGATGATATTCAGTCACCCCCGCCACGAGGGTGTCATGTGGCACAAGGCCTTTTGAACGTGGGCATTCCGAGCCCGTGGGCTCGGCCAAAAATATGCCCATTGAACCCGTATAAACGGGTTCAGGGCCGGTTTCACCTCCCCGAAAGAGACTCCGCCCTTCGGCGTAGCCTACTTCGGGTTCCTCCTGTCCGTAGGAAGAGAGTACAACCGAACAGTCGCTCAGAAAGTACTGGGTCGACTGACAACGTTTGACTGATGTTCACTGTCGATTAAAACAACTTCATCCCAAATATATGGTCAGCTATGCCTGATTTTTTCTATTTCGCATCGGCTTTATGATGTTCTTGCACTCTTACCTTAAGGAGCGGCCTGTTTCGTATTTCTTACTACAGCTGCACGGGATGGCGTACACGCAGTCCTTAGTAATGTTCTCCTCTATGGAGGTCTTACTCGGGAGAGGTGTCTGCGAAGTGTTGAGCCACTTTTCAAGGTCGTCTTGATGTTATATGAAGCACAGATCTTTTGTATTTTTCCGATAATCCCGTCACCTAGGGTAGGCCAACTGAAGCCGTTTTCTGAGAGTTAGTATCCTCTTCTACCCTGATCTTCCAGTTTGTCGGAGCTGATGCCATGCACCCAGGGTAGGTGTTGCGTTCTAGGGTACTGCTTATACTGTTCATATATCTCTGGTTTGCCAATTATCAATTTTACTCGAGGTTGTAAGCAGCGGACGAACCCTTTCTTTACACTATTGCAAATATGACAACAAAGGCGAGGACAACAGTCAGAACAATGTAAATATATTGGTGCTATCAACAAGTACCCTCTTCTATTGTGAAGGTAGACAGTAATGTGTTTTTAGACGTTAGCCAACAGAACTTTTTCGCCAAATAAAATGTAAAAAGTCTAGATAATGTTGTTGTCGTCAAGCCAACATCTCTAATTGCTTTTTTTGTCAGATCTTCCAAAGGACATTTAATCTGAT